AAATGATGTTATTTTTTATATGACATGAAATACCTAGGCGGTATAAAATACAAAAAGTAAAATTTATGTGTTAAATATGTAAATACGTATTGGGAGGTATGTATGTAAATGCCCAATAATTTAAAAGCTTGAACAAAGATTCTGAGTTGACAAGCTAAGAATATGGAAACACTTTGACAAATTAGTTCTAGGACTCATAAAATTTGAAGAAGAATTGAAAAAGGTAAATCGAGAGAGATAACAAACATGTTGTGAACTTACCTTACCGATGATATTTGGTTGACGGCTTAAGCCAACCCATTCGTAAGTCTTAGCATCGAAGTACCTAACGGTACGCATTCCGGCCCAAATGCCTATATTAAGCACCAATGAATACAAGCGCTCAAAACAAGCATATCTTAATCAAATAAATGTAAACAAAACATTTAACACCTAAAGTTATATATTTACACTTATAGCACCATGATGACATAAAACTTTGCATGAAAAAGTGTATTCCACCCTCAAAAAGGTGGTGATGGGGGTATATTTGATATGAAGTTGGGACTTTGAGTGGTTTGCATGTAAATATGAATGTTTAGATGTTAGATATGTAAATACATTAGAATTTTGTGGTATGTATGTAAATGCCTCTTAACAATATTGCAAATCAGATGGCACAAAAAGATCAAGGTTGAATAGAAGACAAGGATCTCACCAAACCAATTGCAGATAAGAATATCCAAAATAATACTATCCCACCAACATTCATTAAAGTTTGGCAGCATATGCCGGAAAGTGAGCTGCAAAATATATTTTTTTTCAAATTAAACCTTCTCTTAATAACATGCAAAAAAAATAAAATAAAATATTTCACACCTATTAAAAAGCTGACCTCCATAACTTCAAATCCAATGGACAAACCCCACAACAGAGGCTGGTTTCTTATCATGATAGCCTTTCCCCACCATCCAAAGACATGTGCAAGAACAAATTCATCAAACAATGTCTCCTATAGCAAATAAAATAAAATAAAAAACATTTTTTTTGAAAATATTTCAAGCCAGGTAGAATATAAGAGAGACAAAAAGAAAAAAATAAATAAATAATCAAAATAAAATATATGGTGAATGAAGCAATCATACATAAACACTGTTAAACCTGCTTTTTGGATTTTCAGGTGTATATATTCTGCAATCAGTGCCATAGGACCGTTCAGGTAACTCTGTTTTTATTTTTCAAAGAGCATTAAAAACAGAAAAATGTCACAAAATTTAACTTTTTTTTTGTTTTTGATGAAGTTATTACCATGCCCAAGATCTGGATGAAGAAATCTCATGAACTTCCGTGCATCGCCACGGTTCTGAAAATGAAGAGCTATGAGATAAGATTTAACATAACTCCAAGTAAGAAGAATACTTAGAAGATTCTAAAATAAAGGAAGTAAATGACTAAGTGATGCAAGCAAATAAGATATGCAAAATAAAAATGTTTAAACCTATATCATATTAGTGGCTTTAGTAACAAACAACCATACAAACAGGGGTGCAATCAATCTCTTTTAAGCAGAAGGATTTATGAGGGGGAAAATTTTACTAAATGGCCCCATCTATTAAAGAAAATAATAAATTTTAGTGTCGATAATTGCTAGCCTTTGGTGTAATATAGTTCCCCTATCCACAACTTGGCACAATCTTCTTGTTTAAGTAATAAGTCTCTATTCTTACATGGTTAGCCTTCAAGTTTTCCCAATTTCCACTCAATAAATCTATAATTTTTTGACAAAAAAATAGACAACTTTGCAATTTTTCAGTACTACTTTCACAAAGAATGCAATTTGCATGAATGCATGAATAATTATGGATTTGATAGAATAATAATATTAATAATAATGATGAAAAGAGACAGACCTGAAAAAGCAAAAAAGTCAGGGCAACAAGGTAGACGACCGCCAATCCATGAACCAACCGCCAAACCGAAGGATGAGGACGAATTAGAATGCTGGAAAGTTACAATGATGTTAAATACCAAAAAATTTTGCCATCATCAATTTTAATAATTTTTTTCATATACATAGCTTTTTTAGAATAATATGTTTTGCGTACTTCAAAATTTTCTTATGTACTTGTGGCTATTCTGATCATCATCATCAGTCTTACTTATCCTCTAACTATTTAGAGTCGGCTTTAAGGATCCCTGTTTTTCATTTGTTCCTATTAAATATTGTCTAAGGTCTATTCCTTCTCCTTCCTAATCCTATTAAACTATTCTTTTCAGATGGATATATTTGCAAACATTCGGTGTACACATGCAAATCATCTAAGTTAATCTCAATTAATTTATATTCAATAGATGCCACTCTGATTCTTCCTCAAATATAATCATTTCTTCATTAATCCTTCCTAATACTGCCCCATACTTATGTTAATATTCACATTTCTCCCACACTCAACTGAGACATAAGCGACTTCTACTTGTCTAACACTCGTATTTTAAAGAGAGAGAGAGAGAGAGAGTATAATGTCTCATCATCTAAATTATCTTAAGTCATGGCAAGCTTCCTTAAGATTGTAAAAATCATAAAAGATAACAGTTTTAGGTTCAATGTAATGCTGAAACAAAACAAAAAAATTGAAATATTTCAACAAGATTGCAAATAATAAGTTGCAAAGATATTGCAACTCACGTTGAGGGAGCTTGAAGCAAGCAATACGCAAGGAAGACTAATATCATTGCCCACACGCCCCTAAGGATAAAAAAATAAATAAAAGAAAAGAAATACTATAAATCAGGAATAAATAATGCAAAAACAAAATTTTAAACATAATTAAAGAGATCATCATCATGAGTGAATAAATTTGCTTTTCAAATGCGCAAAAAAAAAAAAAAAATTCTCCTGGAAAGACAAGAAGAACACCTCTTTACAGTTGTAACACTATCAGTAGAAGCATTGCTCTCTGGATTAAGCGCTCCACTTACCCAGCTGAAACAATATTCACACAGAAACGTTGATTAGTATTCTCAGATTTGAAGTGCAGAGAAGAAAACAAAAGTATGCAAAATGCATAATCCAGTCATGATAGTTCGTGAATTGTATAATATCAAACCATGCAATTTTAATTCAAACTGTATTACCTGACTTATTGATCAACCCAACAGTTAGAATGAACTAATTGAATACCACCCAATTCCTATGTATTTATACGTTTAACTTATAAACATTATCTTTACATTTGGTATGTATGTAAATCTTCCTTAACAATTTAGCAAAACTGAGAAGGATAATTCACTTACACCAAAAGGCAAGCCCCGACGAAAAGTGAAGTGATCGTGCGTGGTCTGTATGCCCACGCGGTCCATGGATCAAGCTCTTCAATGCTACTATGAGGCATTATGTTTCTCTCTTTTGCAATATCAACATCCATTAGTGCGAGTTACACTAAAAAAAGTAAAGAATGCAATTAAAAATTGAAAATTTATGATGCAAATGTTCATTGTGTTCATATATGTTGGAAAAAGGCGGTTCTTTTAGAATTGCTTTCTGTAAAAACCAAGTTATCAATTCAAAAAGTTGAATTTGAACATATAGAATTCTCTCATGTTTTAAACTATCAAAACTCCCCGCAACCGAAAGGAGATCTAGGTAAATTTTCTTTGTAGAATTTACTTTTAGACTAAACAAGAACAAATCATAAAGACTCCTGAATGAAAAATACTAAGTTTGTGTAACAAAAATAACTGGAGCTTCTAATTAATCTCTCAAAATTACTGAGGATTAAGAATCTATGCATGACATTCAATATATAAAAATGCTTAGAAAGACAAATAAATTGTGGCAATAAAGTGATTGACCAATGATAAAAAAGAAATAAACAGGGGTGCAATCAATCTCTTTACTCCTGAACAAAATGAATTTATTTCAAAAGGATGATACTGATTTAAGAAAATTAAAAATAGAAAAAACATTAATGAATTTTGGCTCATCTGTATCAAGCAGAAACATTAAACTATAAATCATAGTACACATACCCCAAATCCAAGGAAAAAATAAATCAATCCACACTAAACAAGGCTTCAAACATCATTATTATCATTTATTTCAAGAACTTTTATGCAGAATCGATTCTAAAAATGCAGCAGAAATCTGCTAAACAAGAAACCACATAAGCAGAACTGAAACTCTTCGTCCCCAAAACACCAACTTTTCATTGGGCTCCGGAAGAAAACAAAATAATAGTCTGAGCACAAAGGGAATGCTAACGAACAAGAAACTCGCACAAATTCCAATAAAAAGCTGACTGAAACGAATTAAAGCTGATCAAATATAAGATGAATTGATCCATTAATCGCTCCAAAAATCAAAAGTTCGCAAATTTACGCAGGGGAAGAACAAGAAAAGCCCGTACTCGCAGGAAAGAGTTGAAAGTTTAAATTTTTTTTTTCTACCTTCCTTTTTCAAATTTTGCTTCTTGCGCGAAGTGATCCGATTCTTGTGGGTGAGAATGAATGAGGGCATAAACAGCTCTGGTCAAAGCGCAGGGAGACAGGGAGAGGGAAGAGAAACGTGGTGTGAAGCCACTTCTTTTACTCCGGTGGAGCCAATCGAAAAAGGTTAGAAATGAATTTGTCCTTATTATACAAGGGCATTTGTATAAAACTCAGTTATTTATTTTATGAGAAAGATAATAATTTTAGGTTAAATAAGATTTATTAAATTCGGATTTACGGAACGAAAGATCGAAGAACTCAATCGGATTTACTAAATCTGAATTTAAGCCTAAAAGATGACTTAATAAGAGGAGAAAAAGATGGAAACACGAGAAAATTGAATTAAACGAAGCGCTGAATTTACTTTTTATTATTGTTGGTGCTTTGGTTGATACCAAACACTACCTTAAGTTCTATAAAGAAGATTTTTTTAAAGAAAATTTGATTAAAATGATAGTCATAGAAAAGAGTTTTCTTTTTAATTTCTAATAATAAATGCTTAGAATATTATTAAAATTTGTTACTAATTTTAAGTTCAAATCAATTCATAGAAAAAAACTATTTAGTATGTGTAATATAAGAGTTTTATTTTGAATAAAGTGTCAAAATAGTCCCTGATTATTTATATGAGGTTGTTTTAGTTTCGAAGTTTATAGAAAAATTAAAATAGTCCTCAAACTCTTTTAAGTTCAGGTTTAAATAGTCCTCATGGTGACGTTTAAAACTCAATTTAAAATAGTTTGCGACTATTTTGGCACTTATATGAATTCTGGAACTAAAACTGACTCATATAAATAATTAAAGACTATTTTCGTAATTTCTTCAACGGTTTTAGTCCCATAGTTTATGCACCTGCCAAAATAATCCTCAAACTCTTTAATTTAGGGTTTAAATGGTCCCCATTGATGACTATTAAAGCTCAATTTTAAAATAGTCAGAAACTATTTTGACACTTATATAAACCCTTGGAGTAAAATGACCCCTGTAAATAATCACAAACTATTTTTGTACTTTACTAAGCTTACATTATAGGTGTAAACTAATTTGGTTGATAAAAAATTTGAAAATTTAATGTTCATTGAATTGAATCTTGGATGTATTGCATGCTCTTCACTCAATCTTCTTAAATTATTAGAGTTATTATTAGCATTCCAAGAAATACTACTATAAGACAAGGTTTTCAATTTATAAAATATTTTGAGCTTTTATTATTATTTATAAAATTTTGATTGTATCTTTTTCACAAAAATATTAAAATATAAGAAGATTTATACAAATAACCTTTTTATTCTTTTAACATAAGAAAAAAAAACATTTTATAAATTTAACCATATTCAAATTATTTATTTCATTAATATTCCATTAAATTTGAGAAAATTAGAGTGAAATAATTTATGGGAAGTGAAAATTAATTAATAATCATATTTAAGAAAAATTAGAGTGAAATAATCTAATAAAAAAATGAATAATATGATTTAAATTTTTACAATAAAAGGAAAGAAAATCACCTAATTGCATTTAATAGGGATAAGAAATTAAGTGATTTCAGAGATAAAAAAAAAATATTTTAATTTTAAATTCCTTAAAATAATATTTGATTGGATCAACGGATTAAGAGGATATAGTTCTTTAATCCAAGTGCGATCAAACAGCGTCGGCGTGTAATGCGGCATTAAATTATTTAAAATATCATTTACTTAAAAATATTATTTAATTAAAAAATATTCTTATGTATTTATCTACATTTTAAAATTATTTACATATGAAAATATGTTTTTTTTTACTTTTTTTTTTAAATTAAAATGGTGATATTTTTATGTGACATAAAAAAATTAGATGGTATAAATTAAAAAATTAAATTTAAATGTTATATATGTAAATACATAAAAAATGGAGGGTATGTATATGTAAATGCACCAAATAAAATGCAAATGATTTAAACCAAAGTGTTTCAGTCCGTTACAACAAAACTTTTTTTTTTTATTACAAAGGTCAATTTGCAATCACCACATAATTATTATTGATAGGCCAACAACAAATTTTCATCATCCGACACAAATCTCGAGATATGACACGGATCCCTAAATGATATTTTGAGCAAAAAAAGTTCAAATCTTGATAATAATTCATCCAGAGCTCCTATTTTAGCAAACTTATAATCAAACTTAACGGCTCAATGAGACAGACCTATTGATATAAAAATTAGTCTAATCCGAGTCAAATCAAACTCAGATCAAGTCATTAAATCATCTTTAGAATATTCCTGAACACATTTGAAAGGTCAAACAAATATCGACACTAGCAATCATATACTCGAATCGAGTGTCTCGACAAAAAAAATTCAATGAGCCCAAGATCACTTAATTCTGTTATCGTTAAGGCACTCAAATGTCCATTAAACGCTGCATGATTCAAGGAAACTCTATGAACCGTCCGATCAAAATAGTTGATATTTCTACATTAATTGCACACAAAATACTATAAATAGACTCCCACCCCTCACTTGAGGGAAAGCTAAAGTCTAGAGAGAGGGCATGAGACCTTGAGGAGAAGTTGCAACCCAGTGTCACCGTTGATTGTCGTCGTCCACCGTCGATCCTTCGTCAACCACAGTCGATCGCCCCCGACTGTCGTCGACTATCGCTGGCCACCCCTGACTTCTGTCGTCGACCATCGTCAACCGTCGTCGACCTCTGCTAACCGTCATCAACCACCACTGACCACTATCGATCACCACCAACTAGACACCGTCAGCGACATTTTAATCTGAAAAATATAGTTACAAATTTCCAGTTTGTGAGATAAGAAATTTCTGTAATCATTAATTCAATAGTGGATTTCCGCAACTGGGCCAGACCCCGTGGTTTTTCACTTTACGGGTTTTCCACGTAAAAACTTATGGAGTCATTACTGCTTGTTTCTTTTTCATCTGTATGTGTGTTGAACTTTCGTCCAACGCTAAGGATAGTCCGCTCCTCTACCGCCGCGAACTTTCTAGCACGCATCGATTATGAATTTACATATCTAACCACTTAAATTTGATATTCATACAAATATTTGATGTGACGTTAAAAATTTAGGTGTTATGAATGTAAATTTTAAAATAAAGATGCGAGATACTCAAATACACAAGAATTGTGGTTTGTGTGTAAATGCCCATTTGAAATATTTCAGGCAACTTTACACAATTTTACAAATAAATAATTTTGCAATTAATATTTTGAAATTAAAAAAAAATGGAAATTTACATACATACCACAAAATTAGCTGAGATTTTTGGCTTGATAATATACATTTTTAGTATAGGTTTTCCTTCGTGTCATGTAAATTCATTTTTAAGACAATAAGAAAAAATTTTAGCCTATAATAAAACCTATCGATTAATTAAAATCATTGTCATCATTTTGATGTGATAATAAGGATTAAAGTGGTATGTATGTAAATATGAATGTTTGGGTGTTAGATATGTAATTACATAAGATTTGTGTGGTATGTATGTAAATGAACACATTTTTTAAGATGAATTCTATAATTATAAAATTAAATATTGATCATAATTTGTGTGATCTTTATTGTTGAATTCTTTTAAGACGTTGGCAACTGTATTTTTCGTGAGCTCGTGCAACCTGGAGGAGATATGTGAAGAAAGGATGTAGAGGAAGGGGATGAATGTATGCTTTGGGAGTTCTCT